ATCTCCAGGCGGGAGGTGCAGGCCTCAGCGCCCGCGCACCCACGGCCCGTGAGCAGCCTGGAGCGCACCCTCGCCCAGCCTCCCAGAGGGGTCCCAAGCCCAGGTCTCCCCGCTGTATCCAGCCCTCCCAGGCCCCTTGGGGCCCCAACCAGCCGTCTTCCGTCCCGGGTTTCAGAAGTGAGTCCTCCCCATAACCCAGAAAGTCTCCAACTCTGTGGATCCCAAGAGCTGTCCGTCTCCCTGGACCGATACCAATGGCTACACAATTGTGTATCCGGTACCGAGGGCTGCGTGCCCCTCTGAAGCCCCACCAGAGGCTGTAAGCTAGCTGCATCTGTGCTCTAATCTGAGTGCCATCTTTCACCTCCCCAGGGTCACTAGGACACCAGAGCCCAGCCCCTTGCCCCTGCTGCAGCCCCTTCCCCGTCTGAGCTGGAGTTCAAGGCCCACCCTCATCTGCGTGTCTGGCCCTGATTTTCAGCAACTTGACTTTTCTCCACAAATGGAGGTGGCGGGGGTGGGGGGTAGGTGGGTGACTACAACAGATGAGGAAGAAGGGCAGATGTTTGGGGACGGGCATTAGCCAAGGGCTAGATGGGACAGGCTTGGAGACGGTGTGGCCTAGCTTTGTAAACCCAGCCAGCTTCCTAGATCTCCCCCCCTCCCCCCAAACAGAAGCCCTGGCCTCCCTCCCCCAACTCCACCTTGCCACCCTTCTACACAGCCAGCCTGAGCAGGCACAGGGATGAGCAGGCAGAGGGAGCAGATGGAGAGAAGGTTGCAGCAGCCGCAGAGTGGTGAGCTGGGAGTCGGTGGCGGAGGACAGGGGAGGAAGGAAGCACTGAGGCCCAGGGAACCAAACAACCTCCCTGTCTTCACCCAAAGCTGCCCCATTCCCGCCTTCATTCAGTCATCCGATGCTCTTTTACAGGGGCCTCACCCCAGGTCCAGACTTGCATTAGGTTCTGGGGTACAGAGAGCCCCCAATAAAACCCACTCTTTGGCTCTGCGAAGTTCCCGTTCCTGGCAGCAAAGCCAATGGGTCTTTAGAAGGAGGGTGCTGAGGCAAGGGGTGCATCCGAGCTCATTCCTCCTCTGGGGGGGCCGGAGCTTTGCTGGATTGGGCTGGGAGCTGGGTGCGGCCTGACCTCCATTGCCTTCCTCATCACCACGG